CCCTCTGTGCTCCCAGCCCCGGGCACTGCCCAGATGTGTCCTCACCCTCCAGCTTGTTGCCTTCCTCTGGGCCTACATAACTCCTGTGTCCTGACTGCCCAAGGGATCCGCTTCTAGTGGGGCTTGAAGCTGGAAAGCGGCCACATGATCCCTCCCTTGTGATCTGGTGGCTCGAGTTAGTTGTTGGCAAGAAAGAAGTGCAGGATGAAAGTCTGGGATGGATCCCTTCCTCATTGGCCATGTGCTTTAACCACCGGGGGCTTGAAATATGCCAGGATGTTCTCCTGCAGGATCCGTCATTACATTGTTTGGCATCATGGAGATTTGGACATATGTGGCAGCCACCTTCTAGACTCAGTCTGGCCTTTGGATTGTCTCAGGGGCCTAAATCGGAGATGGAGGGTCTGGGCAGCCTCCACCCCTGCAAAAACTCCTGGCAAGGCATATGCACCGCAGGTCTGGGTGACCTCGTGCAAACACCACGACCCGGAAGGATCAGCGGTTCCCGAACATATGTTGCTGCAAGCCTGTCACTGTGGTTGCATGGCTGCACACGTGCCTTTTAGGTGGATGAAGTGAAAGAGGATCCAGATCCCCATCTCTCTCTGCATGTCAGCCTCCTGCCGGTGTGCTTTAGCAAGCGTTCCTGCATCCTGGGACTCCTCTGACCGGCCCAAAGCGCAGCTTAGCCGTGCCAGCCTTGCCAAGTGACAGACCCCATCCCCGCTGTAGTAAGTGCATAGCTTTGAATATGGATTTGGGGCTAGGCTTATAAATAGAAATCCTTCTTGGGCCACCCCACGCCATGACTCTTTGCCACTGGGGGACTCTCCTCGACATTTGAGACCAGAGACCTGCCTGGCCCCAAGCACGGTTTGGCCGTGCCAGGCTGCCAACTGACACCCCCCAGTCACTGTGCTAAGTATATGTCCCTGTGCTTCACTGCCAGCCCCAAGACTCAAGGTGTAAGGTTGTCCTGGGCCGGGGACCCCCGCAGGCCAGCCCAGACCCCCGGCGCCCACAGCCCCGCGCTCAGCACCTTGCCCCAGGGGAATAAACACCCTGGTTGCCATGGCAATGGTGCTGTTGCTTCCAGTGTGACATCACAATCCCCAGCCTAACTGTCAGCCCGGCTCCGCCCAGTGCGCTCGTGGCGTCGCCGCAGCCGGTCGCACGTCCCGGTCCCTGTGTTCAGTCGTTAGTGTCTCGAGAGTTAGGTGATTAGGTGTTAGTTGGTTTCCTAGGTTGTTAGTCTCATTAGTCTCGTAGTTCATTAGTTTATTCATTCGTTAGTTAGGTAGTTAGTTTATTCATTAGATAGTTCCTTGGTTCAGTAGTTTGATAGTTTAGTAGTTCATTATTTAGTAGTTCATTAGTACATCCGCTCGTTCGTAAGTTAGGCAGTTAGTTCATTCATTAGAACGTTTGTTAGCTCATTAGTATATTCATTAGTTAGATCCTTAGTTCCCTAGTTCAGTAGTGCATTCATTAGGTAGTTAGTTAGGTAGGTAGTTAGGTAGGTAGGTAGTTTTCCCGAGTTTCCCACCCGAGCGGCGGGAGCGCACGCCTGTTGCAGCCGTGAGTGCCCGTTCTCGCTCAGCCGTGGGCAGCACCGGGGACACCCACGGGCCCGTCACGAGGATTTGGGCGATGGGGCGAGTGGGCGGCAGGGGCTCAGGCTGTGCCAGGCCCAGGATGGGCCTCGTGCCTCGTCCCTGCTCTCGCCAGCCCGGCTCCTCACTCCCTCCTGCAGCTCAGGGCTGTGTTTGTTGCAGACGCTGCGGCGCGAGAAGCTGCCGTCCCTGCGCCTGCGCTCCAGCACCCCGGGTGAGGTCTGGGCACGGCCCCCACGGCACCAATGAGGGGTGGGCGGCGCGGCAGGCTTCAGGCCCATGTGACCTCCCCTCCCGGCAGGGTTTGCCTGGCAGGCCAAGCTCCAGGTGTCCCAGGTCCAACCTGGACAGACCCGGCTCCGTGTCCCCCAGCTGTCACCCCCTGCTCTGCACCAGCAAGTTCAAGGGGTGGGGGAGCAGGACTGGCCCCCACGGGCTCCTCACCCAGCCCCCGGTCCTGGCCCATGCCCATGCCCATGCCCATGCCCCTGTCCTACCCCTGGCAATGGCCCTGTTGCCCTCTGCTCCCTTGCAGGGTGGGCCACATGGGCTCTGGGATCCCCATTCTCACATTGGTGCTCAGTCCCCCCAGCATGATGCTCAGCCCTCATCTCCCCTCAGCACCAGATGCCACCCTGGGAGCAGGCAGGCAGCAGAGAAACTCCCCCCCCATTAATTGCGCTGCATTTCTACCTCCCCTGGGGGCAGGGCAGGAGACGAGGGACCCTGCACCCGGTGAGTTTTGGTCCAACGTGAGCTGGGGGGGTCCTGTGCGGTTGCGTGGGGAGGGGGCAAGGTCTCTGCATGGGGGCCTCTCCTCTCCCTCCTCAGCCTCCATTCCCAGGAGCCGAGCTGATCCAGCCCCACAGCACAACCCCTCCCCAGCCTTACTGACCCTCATCCCCTAGTCCCTGGGACCCACCCCCTGCCAGGGGCATTTGTATCTCAGGTGACCAGCCACGTCCCTGGGGTCTCTCCCAGACCTGCTCCCTGGAGGGACTCCCACCCGACCCCCGTGGAGGAAGGCCCTGCCCTTGTGGCATGCAGGAGGCAGGTGCCCCACGCGTTGTGTCCCAGAGGGGCTGGTGGCCCTGCGCCCTGGCAGCAGAGGGGGTCCAGCTGACGCGCGGCCCCTTGTCTCCCCGCAGGACCAGGAGCAGTGCCGGGGGGAAGTGAAGGGGTTGGGGAGACCATCCCAGCTGTGCCGGGAAGCTCTGCCAGGGGCCAGATGTGGCTGGACCCTCCTGCTGCAGTGAGTCTCTCCCCTGCCCAGAGGTTGGGGGGATCTGGGCTCAGGGGTCTCTCACCAGGGGGCCTGTGCCCCTGCCACCCCCACACAGTGCACGGGACCCCAGGGGAGAGTCTCGCTCTCTGCCGACTCCACGGGCCCTGCTAGAATAAGGGAGGGAGTCGTGGGCTCATCCCCCGATCACAGGGACAGTCCTTCCCAAACCAGAGTGTCGGAGGGGACCTGGGACCTTGAGCTGGGAGATGGGGGCTCACATGAGACAGATGGTAACAACCAAGCACTGGCACCCCGGGGCCCAGGTCTGTGAGCCCTGCCTGGCCCCAGTGTTATGGTTGCGACCATCCCTGAACCCTAGGGAGATGGGGAAGTCGCTCCCCATGGGAGTCCATTGCCCCAGCAGCTCTTTCCTTCCCCAGGAGGAGAAACACCATGGCAGGCAGCGTTGTCAGCAGGTGAGCGGACCCAGGCGGGCTGGGGGCTGTGAGGGAGAGGTAGTGGGCTGGACGATGGGCGCGTGGAGGGGTGGACCAGAGGGACAAGGCTGGGGTTGGCCTGGGGGTTGGCGGGAAAATGCAGGGCCAGAGGGACAGATAGGGGCAAGAGGTGGCTACATGCACAGACGGACAGGCCGTGGCGTGACATCTCCCTAACCCGCGCTGTCTCGATTGCTGCAGCTGGAGCTGAAGGCGGTTTGGGCCCGGCTGGCACAGGCAGAGCAGGACATAGAAGTCATCCTGTCCTGGTAGGTGTGGGGCTGGGGAGGGAGCTGGTTGCTCCCGTTGTGAGGCACAGGGCTCAGGACACAAGCCCAGGGGCCATCCCTGCTTCTGTGCATGTCTCTCCATGGGGAAAGGGTGTTTTCTGGGACATCCCCACCAGCCTCTCTGAGCCAGAAACATTTCTTGTCTCCACAGCGCACGGCAAAGGGAGGAGCGGCTCCGGGTGAGTTTGCATGGGGCAGAGGCTGCCAGGGCTGTGGGGCAGGGGAGGGAAGAGGCTGCGGCCAAGCTTGGCCAGGCTGGGGGACATCCCAGAGGCTGCTGAAGCTGGGAGCAGAATCCCAACACATGACATGTGGGGGAGAGGCGGGACCTGATGGGTGCACAGGGAGGTAACGCTGGTGGGAGCGGCGCCCGATACGCTGGGCGCAGGCATGGGCAGGCTCTGACGGGCTGGGGGCATTCTCGTGCAGGCCCAAGTGGAGGCGCTGAGGAGCCAGAACCTGTTCCTGGTGCTGGCCCTCAAGGCCCAGAGAGAGCAGGACCAGGATCTGCACAACAGCCCCACGGAGGTGAGCCGCTGTGCATGCCCCTGCCCCGGGGGGAGAGGGAGTGTGCATGTGCCCATGTGTGTGCACAGGGCAAGGCTGGGCCCTGCTGTGCCAGCCCTGCAGAGGAGGGGACAGGGGGTTGCCCTGGCTGTGTGGGTGGAGGGCTTGTGTGTGCAGTGCTGGGCACCATGTGAGCTGTGTGGATGTCACAGTGGGACCGGTGGGGTGACAGGTCTGTGCTGCACTGACCTCCCCTGCTCCCTGGATTGCTGCCCACCAGCCTCCCCTAATAGTCCGCCATGTGCCAGCTCTGGGCCCACGGGCTGGATTTGCTCTTCACTTTTGTGTTCCTTTTTCATTTGCACCAGACTCCCATGGATATGGAGGGGATGGTGGAGGAGTGCTGGCCACCCTGGAGGGGGTAAGTGGGGGACAAGGAGGGGAGGGTGAGGAGCAGGGCTGTCCTGGGTAGCTGGTGGGCTCTGGGCCAGGCTATGGGGTGTTGTAAGTGGTGCTGTTTGCAGATAGGAGAGTCCTTCCTTCTCCGGTGCTGCATGGGCCAGTTCCTTTTTGTGCAACCAGGAGCATTAGCCCCCGCCAGGAGATGGAGATGGGTTCCAATGAGGACAAGGGGACCCAGACCAACCTGCCCCTGTATGGAGAGGCCAGCACCCAGGCAGAGGTCCCAGGGCATGAACACGCCGGCACCCAGACCAGGGCCCTCTGCCAGACTGAGATGGGGTGCCAGACCGAACCCCTGCCCATGATGGATGCAAGCACCCAGACAAAGGTTTACCAACATCAAAAATGACCAGGACAGGCAGAGAGGCATGTTGCCTTTTGTAGTGCTGGTATGTGAGCCTGGGATCAGAGCTGGATGGGACCTGGGTGATGATCAGGGCCTCTTCTGCCTCCAGGCAGGTCAGGATGACCCATGATGCCCGTCCCTCAGGGTGCCAGTGCCCTGAACCAAGCAGCCGTCCCGTGTGTCAATCCCACATCATGTCTGCCCCTGGATGCTGTGCTCAGGCAGCGTGGGGCCACATCTTGGGAGGGGATTGGCCCTGGGCTGTATGAAGCCCCAAGAGACGGGTGGGAGAGCTTCTTACCCTTACCATAAAGAAGCTCTTCCTTATGTCGAATGTAAACCTGCTCTCTGTCACTTTGTGGTCATTACTTCTACTTATCATGAGGGGCACCCCGGTAAATAGGGTATCTCCTATTTCTTTCTGCCCCCCGCCACCTCCTGATGAATTTGTAGATGCCTGCAGGTCACTTCTCAGCCTTCTCTTGTGGAGGCGGAAGACATCCAGGTCCCTCAATCTCTCTTCCCAGGACCTTACCTTCAGGCCGTAAACCATATGAGTGGCCCTCCTCTGGACCCTCTCAAGTTTACCCATGTCCCCCTTGAAGTGCGGTGCCCACAACTGGATGTAGTTTTCCAGCTGTGCCCTTACCAATGCCGACTAGAAGGGAAGTATCACCTCCTGGACCTGTTTGTGATGCACCTGCTAATGCACGATAGACTGCGGTTAGCTTTACTTAGCACTTTGTCACACTGACAACTCAAGTTCATCTTGGAGTCGACTATGACTCCAAGATCCTGTTCTGCTGCTGTGCTGCTTAGAAAGTCATCTCCCAGGTTTTAAGTGTGACGGTGACACTTTCTCCCTAGCTGCAGCACTTGGCACTTGACTTTATGAAACTGCATCCTATTCTGTCCATGATCCATCTCTAACCAGTTACTTCTTGTGCAATCAGGAGCAGATTCCCCTCCCAAAGCATGGACATAGGGACCCAGGCCAGCCTCCCCCTCACCAGACAGGCCAGCACCCAGGCAGAGGGACCCTGGCATGCAGACACTTCCATGCGGACCGGTGCCCTCTGCCTGGCTGAGGTGGGGTGCCAGGCTGGCCCAGGGCCAACATTTGAGGCAAGCACCCAGACCCAGGGGCATCATGTTCCACAATGGAGAAGATGGGGGAAAGGTATGAAGCTTGTTCTAGTGTTAGCTTGTGAGTGTGGCATCTGTGTGAGGAGCGGAGGAAGGGCTGGAGCCAGGACTCCAGGGAAGAACTAGATTTGGGGCTCCTGAGGCAGCTCTCGGATACCATAAAAGCTAAGGAGGCGGTAGTCATGGGGGACCTAAACTACCCGGACATCTGCTGGGACACGCAGACGGCAAAGTCCCACCGCTCACGCAGGTTTCTAACCTGTGTACAGGACCTCCACCTGACACAGGAGGTACACGGTCCCACTAGGGGGAATGCCTTACTGGATCTGGTATTGGCAACGGGAGATGACATGGTAGGAGACCTACAGATGGGTAGCCATCTGGGGGACAGTGATCACCTAATAATAGAATTCTTCATAAGACGTCGAGTGGGTAAGGTAACTAGTAGGGTGAAAGTGCTAGACTTTAGGAAAGCTGATCTCAATGAACTCAGACGATGAAAGTGCTAGATTTTAGGAAAGCTGATCTCAATGAACTCCGGCGATTAGTCAAGGACGCACTGCAGAGTAGGAGTTTTGAAGTGATGGGAGCCCGGGAAGGGTGGCTGTGAAATGATCCTTCAGGCACAAAGCAAGACAATCCCGATGCGAGGAAAAAGAGGGAAAGGGGCCAGGAGGCTTCCTTGGCTGACCAGAGAAATCCAGGGTAGCCTAAAGGCCAAAAGGGGAGCACATAAAAAGTGGAAACAGGGAGAAATCACCAAAGACGAATATACCTCCTTTGCTCGTGCTTGTAGAGAGGCAGTTAGACGGGCCAAAGCTACCATGGAGCTGAGGATAGCAACCCAAGTAAAAGACAACAAGAAATTGTTTTTTAGATATAT